ACAAGCAGTTGAATTTTCCCTGTTTTACAAATGCTAAATTTCCTCTTAGTAGCTCTTTGGTGATGCAGAAACAGGTTACTGTGATACTAAAGGGAACCCCACAACATTTTTTCATCCTGTCTCTACATGCACTCCTGGATTTGATCCTGTTTTCAACACAAACTGTAAGTGTAAATTAAACTAAAGCTAAAAACGTGTTTAATCTCTGTGAGTTCAGATGAGACTGGAATGATAATCCAGGGTGGGGGGCACATGACCTTGTTGCTTGCTCCACACACTCCAGTTGAGGTGCTTTTGCATATAAATGAATTGTTCACACAACCCTGAATAAGCAGCAGATGTCGGTATCAGTTAGTATAAGTGTATATATGGATACAAGCGCAATGTGCTCTTTCTTGTGGTTCTTCTATCGATTAAGTTCGTAATCACTTTCATTTATTGAAGATAAAAGATGTTTTGCTCTTTTTGAATAATTTTAGTGTTGAACCATGTCTGACCATCTCAAAGTTGTTTGTTTCTTGTATAAAGATTTATTTTGCTAACAGGGGTGCAGGGATATAGTAGCAGAAGCAACCCTATGTTTTAGACACATCTCCTTGATGGACTCCTGAAGCTGTGAAGAAGTAAGTTTGATAGTAAATGTGCCCCGCCCCCTCACAGTCACTAACACTGATCACTGAAATTAAAATCTGTGACATTAATCTATTTTTTAAATATTCTGTGGTTTCTAATCTGGAAAACAAAAGAAACAAAAACAGGAAAAATGTATCGTCTTGATGCATTCTCGTTTCTTCAGAAGTCACTGGGATGAAACGATTCTCCCGCTGAAAACGTCCAGATGAACAGAATCGACTTTTGGAGAGGAAACGGCTTCAGAGGGAGAAACAAACTCGTTTTGGTTGCTGTGTCAAATCCTGAAAGTGGGTTTGTCTTTGATTCAAGTTAGGGTCAGGTTTTTGGTTATTGAATAGGGTCACACAGGGTCCCCGTGAAGATGGCAGGGCGAACGTGTGTTTGCGTTATCTGCGCAGTGCTGCCACCTGCTGGATCCAGCAGTCAACACACTGCATGGATTTTAGTTTGACGTGAAACTCTAATGAAGAGGAGGTGAGTGGGGGGGAGGAAGTAGAGGACTGTTCCGATCCCTTCTGAAAAAGAAGGAAAAAGCATATTTCATATCATAAAATTATTAAACTAATCAATCTGTTTAATTTCCTAATAATAAAACAATCCCAATGACGACAACATAACAATATGATCTTCTCCATCATTGTTAGCTTTTGAGCTGTTTTTTCTTCCTCGCTTCTTTGTAACTCAGTTACCCTCCTACCCTTTCATCCACTCTGCTTTAATCTTCCTTCTTATCAGTCTTTTTTTATTTGCGAGTATTTACTTCCTTCTTTTCTGCGCTTTGTATTTGTTGGAATCAGCCAATGAGCATGCAGAGACTCACCAGGTGTTGCAGCAGCTCGTAGTTGTGTGTGATGACTTGGTGTCTGATGTCAGGAAGGAGATCTTGAAGCTTCTTTGTGCATTGCTCATACTGAGTGAGTCTGTGGGCCACCGTGGTGCTCTGACCAAAACAAGGACCAATAAATAAAATGAGCTTTGAATCTGCTGAGTGTATCTCACACAACATGTCAAAGTTCAAAGTGAAATTGTGTGTTATTATTGTGTAATAGCAACAATTATTTTGATACATCTAATCTGGATTTGGATTTTTAATGTGCCTCCTGCTGTTAAATAAAGACGTGATTTGAGTCGTACCTGGTTCAGGTAAGCAGGCGTCTCTTTGCAAGGCTCAAATGGCAGACCTTTCAGATGCGCCTGCAGCAAAAACACAGGTGTGAGCGAGACTCATTAAATTGTTTCAAATTGGTAAAAATGCACATTTATTCAAAGAGAGTGTTGTGTGGACGCCTGCACGGCTCGTCTCTCACATCCTCTTTCAGGTAGCTGTTGTATTTTTCCAGCGCCCCGTGGAGGTCCTCAACGATGCTCTTCATTTCAGCGTTTGGTGGTAATGCCCGACCTGCAGCAAGCTCCACCAAACCCCCAAGAAACAGGATGAGCAGGTACTCACAATGCACTGCAACAGAAAGAAGAGGGCTTTGGTTTCAAACCGCAGAAGCGAGACTTGTTAATGCCACCTGACCCTGAGATAACCGGGGTGTTTGTGGGCTTTACATAAAATCCTGTGACCACTGACTCAGTCAGCCACCGGCTGTGAGATGGAGATATTAAAAACAGATGCTGCCATTTCACGAATGACTCTGCTAAACAAACATTCCGTAGGATGTCTTTGGCTTTATTGGGTGATAACAGTCTATTAGGCACTAATGACTCACAGTGAACAGGATATACTGTAAAAATACTTTACTGTCAGTGGTGGAGTTTAAATCTAATTCAGTATGGGAATGAGACCCCTCCCCGGGTCGTGTAG